TTCTCATTAATTAGATTAAATAGCCTGTATGCACCAGTCTTATGATATCCTACCAGAATCATAGGTTCACCCTTGTCATCAAGCTTCCTTCTTCTCGCACTAGGAACATGCTTGTAACACATAATGTTAATTCTCTATTTTTAGGATTAACATTAATTTTGGTAAAACAAATATAACAATAATATGTTAAATAGGATTTTCTAACTTGTAGAGAAAACAGATTGAAGTTATATTTTATGAATAAACATGTTGAGATGAGATGTCTCATCATCTAGAGCAACATATCATATAAGATGTCCTACGAAAGATCATACGACATCGCGCCTGTGCTGAACTGGTTTGTTATATTCTGTCATGTTTTAACAGATGCATAATATTCTGGGAATATTATGCAATCATATGTGGAACTAATTTAAAGGTCTAGAAGATTCAATCATAATTCAAGAAGAAAATATACTTTCTATATATGGAGACATTGTAGGAAATATTTGATTGAAGACCTATTTTGTTGCAAAATCTTCTGTAGTTTTGTAATAGATGATATGTTGTGATTTGAAGCTCAAATTTAGTTGGGAGATAGGTTATAAATAGAATCACTATAACCTAGGTAAAGGTACTAACCAAGAATTAGAAATATGTAATCATTAGGATTGAGTATGTACCACTCTCTATGAGAGTTAGTTTGTGTGGTCCACTCGACATATGAGTTAGATTGTTTTCCTTGAGTTGCAAGATTTTGTTATCACTCTTAAGCTTTTAAGCATAAAGTTGATTATTGTTCTCCTCGAAGTTATGAAGCAAGAGTAAGTATTGTTCTTGGAGGTAGCTTTTAATCAAATCCAAGTTATGTTCTTGTCAAGTGTCTTGATGAGTATTGTCATGAAAGTGTGTATTTTGTTTTCATCATGGAAGTGTGTCTTCCTGTTTTGCCCAATCGTTGTTTGTGATTGATGAGGGATTGATAAGGACCTCATGTCTAAGTGAGTCTTAGATAAAAGTATAGTACGAGTAGTGATTAAGTGAGAAGTTATAAACGAGTGAGTTTATCTTCAAATTGATACTATTATAATGGACTTGTCCCTGGCTTGGTATGCCTTCAGAGTAGGAGAGTTGCTCTAAACTGGGTTAACAATTCCCGTGTGTTGTTTATACTTTTCAGTACTGTTTATATTGTTTATACCTTGCCTATGTTGTTTAAGTCATATCAGATGTCCCAACATGTCATAGGACATCTGAAGTCTGATATATCGGAATTTCGCATAGAGCCAAATACCTTTAAATGACTCATTAATGGTCATTTGACACTCTATACTTATTCAAGAACCTTGTTCTTCAATATCTTGGTAGGACACCTATTTTGGATATAAACTGCAGTCGAAACAACTTTACCCCATAAAGATTTTGGCAAATTCTTTTTCTTCAGCGTGCATCTCACCATATCCAATATGGTTTTGTTTCTTCTTTCTGCAATTCCATTATGTTAAGGCGTATAAGGAGCAATTACCTCATGATCAACACCATGTTTTGCACATAATTTTTTAAACATCTTCAAAGTGTATTTGCCACCTCCATTTGCTCTCAGAACTTTGATCCTCTTTTCACTCTACTTTTTGACAAACATCTTGAATCTTTTAAAGATATCAAATATTTCGCCTTTTCTCTTGATCACATAGATCCATAACTTTCGACTAAACTCATCGAGAAACGAAACAACATATATGTTTCCACCAATGGTATCTTCTTCGAACGGACTACATACATCTGAATGTATCACTTCGAGTATGCATGATGATCTCATTGGCATAGTCAAAACAAAAGAGTTTTTGGATTGCTTTCTGACTAAACAACCTTCACAGAGTTTTTAGGGTATCTCAAGACTTTGGATACGAGATACCATATCTTGAGTAATCAGTTGATTGAGTGATTGAAAACTCAAATGTCCAAATGGCACAACCAACTATCCTTGTGGTCGACAATATTTTTTAGACATTGTACTTCAGTCAAACTCATCATGGCCCTAAACATCTTATTATTCAATAGAGGAGATTTTAAGACCAAACTATTCTTGGTGTCGAACAATTTTAAAACTTCATCTTTCATGACAACTGAGAAATCTTTTTCGACTAGTTGTCCAACACTTAGCAAGTTGCACTTTATTCTAGGTACATAGAGTACATATTTGATAATAACTTTCCCTCCATTACTCATTTGAAAGACTACGTTGTCAGTATCTTCTGCTTGCAACAAACTACTATTAGCAAGTTTTACCTTGCTCTTCTTCGACTTGTCAAAATATGCCAACCATTACTTTCGACTAGTCACGTGGTTCGAGTAGCCTAAGTCGAGAAACTAGATCTTGGACTCAACATGGTTATCTGCAACTGTAACCATAACCACTGTACCACCTTCAGGATCATCAAAATCTTGGTGTGCAAGGTTCGCTCATTCATCCTTGCCTGTCGATCCCTTATCTTTTCGGTACCAATAATTATTGGCTACATGATCCCACTTTTCACACTTATAGCACTACACACCTTTTTTTAAATCTTTTTTGTCCTTTCGATAATTTCCTCCCCCTCTTTTCGAGGATTCAAAAGCTCTGTCTTTGACATGATGCTTGTGAGGGTTCGACCAAGACTTCTTTCCCCGAGTCTTGTCGATATTGCCTTTGAACTTGTTGGAACCATCGTTCCTTTTTCATGACTGAGCTTGCAATGCCCGTATCGTGTCCTGAACTCCTTTTCTTTAAATAATCTTCATCTCATGCGCCTCCAACGAACCAACCAATTCTTCCACTTTTAGAGTTTCAAGTTTGTTGAATTCTTTAATAGCTACGGTAATGTGATCAAAGTGAGAGGTTAACGTTCTCATTACCTTCTCAACTATCATCTTATCAGTATAGAAACCATAACTCTTCATGAGCTGAACGAGTTTCTGAACCTTCGACACATATTTTGCAGTTCTTTCATCTTCTCTCATCAAGAACAACTCATATCGTCGATGCAAGGTTTGTAACTTGATAACATTGACATTCTGACCTCATTCTTAATACTTCACCAAAATATCATATGCCTCTTTAGCTGTTACAGCATGAGAAATCTCGTCGAAGTTAACAGCGTCAATCGCCATCTGATTGCAATAAGCAGCCTTGCAATCTTTCATCTTGACTTCGTTGTGTGTTTTTTCTGTTCATCGGTTGCATTTGCAGCCAACGCAGGAACGCTGTCAGTAACCACTTCTAGAGTTTCGTGGAAGCCAAACAAGGATTGCATTTGCTTTTCCATCAGATCCAGTTTTTGCCGTCTAGCATTGGAAGAGAATTTGGAATGCCCTTATCACTAGCCATTTTCGCAGCGTTGATTCACTTGTCCTAGAAACACGATTTCTGACGTGAAATTCTTAAAAACACGATCAAGAACAATAACCGAAAGCTTTGGATACCAATTTATTAGTGCGTGAGACACTTTTAATGAGGAGAGAAAAAGAGAATAATAAAGGAAATAAAGATTCTATTATTCACTCAATGAATTGTACAAAATAATGATACATACTATAACTATTTATATACAATCTTAATTCGGCTTAGGCTAACACAACTTAAATTATATTTAAATATTAAATCAAATCAAATCAAATCTATATGTCAATTTGAACCAACAAACATCACAATAAGACGAAAAAACCAACAAACACCATACAAAACGACAAAAACTTAAAAACACAAAAAGAAGAAACAAATCTATATAGATAACTTATTTAAAATAAAAAGAAAAAAACAGAATTGATGAATGATTTCAAACCAAAAATAAAAAAAAATCAACCCCACAATGTTCAATTTTCTAAATCGGTTCTTTTATATATTAACTTTATATAACAATATATTTAATTTTGATAGAATGTGATATTCTATCCCACAATGTGATATTTAATTTTGCTTTTTCAAAAAAATTACAATTCCCGCATTCGATAAAAATATTTTTTAATATTAAAAAAAAAAACTAAGTAGATTGTACTCCCGCCAAAACAAATTGGCGCGCCCTTTCCTTTCACCACTATTACTATCTCTCTCTCTCTCTCTGTGTCTTTCTCTCAAACACCTTGCCGACTTCGCCCTAGATCCATTTCTCTCGTCTCTCGCCGCTGCCGCATCACGAATCAAAACCTTCCCAGGTGAAAAATCTTTCTTTTATTTTCATTTTCACATTCTTCAAAACCTCTTTCTTTTTACTTATATATATTCTTTCAACCCTAAATGTGTTCATCTACAATGTTAATTTGTTTCAGTTTGCAAAATTAGTGCAAAATTAGAGTTATTTGTTCGCATTGCAATTGTGAATGCTCGTTTTAAGCAGTTTTCTTAGATTACCTCAATTTAATAAGACAAACCCTAGTTTTGTTATAACTTCAGTAGAGAGCGTTTGATAAATTGGTTTGTTTTCCCCTAAACTTGATACCAATTAGGTTTTCAATTTGAATCTGATACCCTTAATTTTTATCTTTTATATTTTGCATGAATTTTAATGGTAGTATTTTGTTGGTCGTAAACTTGCATGTTTGTTTGATTTGTTTTGGATTTTGGTGTTCTGCAAGTATTTAGATCTATTGGATGTTGATAATCCCTTGCTTGGTGGTCCTTATTGTGATATATTTCATACTGGGTTTATTGTTTTATGTATAGCATTGGCGTTTGTGTTAGTTATGTTGCATGGTGTTTGGAATTAATGTAGGTTGTGAAGTGTGTTGTGCATTTGCTGGATAGGACACTTGAGGTATTTCTGTTTTAACAGTTTTAAAATCATGTGGACTTTGTTTTTGTAGCATGTTTAGTTCTAGAACAAGATGTGTTGCTTTGACTTAAAAACTAATGTGTTGCAGTAAGTTCTTTTTCTGACTATCTATTCTTTTTACTGTCTCCAGTGGTTTGGAATTTTTGATAGGCTTTAAGGAAAAATTGGAAGAATATAGTTGAAAGATTGTGGTTTTATCAGTAGGGAATCCAAATGGACCCTGGCCGTTGTGATCATCTTCATTATATTCAAACTATCAAAGGTGGGTTGGTTACGAAAGTACTAAATGTGTTTCGCGGGAAGCCAAAACTTTCATTCAAAAGTCTTGCAGATATACATGAACGTGAGAGCCTTATGGTTGATAATGATGATGGAAAGGCTGAAAGAGTGTGCATTGATGTAATAGAGGAAGGAATAGTGAAAACTGAACATGGTGTTTTGGTATGTGATGCTGATGATGGAGATGCTCAGAGACTCCGTGACCTGTATGATGAAGAAGAAGATGATGATGATGATGGTGATGATGATGATGATGATGATGGTGATTTTCCCATTTTCACACTAAAGCAACTTAAAGAAAGTAACAAATCAAGGAAGAGGAAACGCTCACACCGTCTCTACTCTTCTAAAATAAAAATCAATGTTGAAGATCCGTCAACCGTGGAAGACTACACAGAGAAGCAGCAAATTGCAGAAGATGATTCTGATTTATTGGAGACTCTCAGTAGCTTGAAAACTAAACTATCAAAGAATATGAAGACCAAGAAGAAGAAGAAGAAGAAGTGCCTAAAAGATCTTCCAGTGTCCTCCCGGGAGAGTGTGCTAGTTGAGCAATCGGAAGAGATACTTGACAGTCAAGAGTTCTTGCCCTCTAGTGGAGATTCAGCTGCTCTTGTTGAAGTTAAGTTTGATTGTCCTGAAAATGTTTGTTTTGGAAGGCCAGATGATTGTGCCGGCAGAGAAAGTATAGGCTATCACCCAATTTCCTCCCAAGAGTTTGTTCTTGTTGATGAATTTGAAGAGGTACTAGATGGTCAGGAGTTCTCACCCTCTGGCAGGGATTCAGTTGCTCTTGTTGAAGTGAATTCTGAGCGTCCTGAAAATGATTGTTTTGATGGGCCGGATTTCTGTTCCGGTAGAGAAAGTAAAGAAGACCACTCAATGTCCTCCCAAGAGTTTGTGCTAGTTAAAGAATCTGAAGAGATACAAGATAGTCGAGAGTTCTCACCCTCTAATGGAGATTCAGCTGCTCTTGTTGAAGTAAATTCTGAGTTTCCTGAAGATGATTGTTTTGACAGGCCAGATACCTGCAGAGAAAGCAAACAAGATGCAAACATACCTTTTGAATGGAATATGCAAAATGAGTTAAATTACAAATGGAAAGACTTTTTTGAAAGTATTCCAGTAGGACTGGTGAAGCCATCTAGTATGGGTAGTGTAAGAAGTAATTCTGAACTAAGCAGCAACCAGGTTACAAACTTTCCTGCAATAGAATTTGAAGCCCGTGGTAACTCCAACATTTCTGACAATCAACTTGATGACACTGATATACCAGTCCCACCTGAAGTAGCTAGTCATAAAAATCTTGACTGTACAGGTCTGGAGGTTAGAGATGATAATGACTGCAGTGAAGATGAATATACAGCTGGTGCTGAAGTTCAAGATAAGCCCTGCTCCACTATTGAACATGGACTCAATCCCGATGTATATCTGGTTTGTCGCTCAGATGATTCACCTGAATATGAGGATAAGCAATCATTTGATTCTGTGTGTGAGGATGATACTGGCACATTAGTCTCACCATCTGACACGGCTAGTCATAAAGACCTTGACTGTGCAGGTCTTGAGCTTAGAGATGATAATACTTTACTCTATAACTGCAATGAAAATGAGTATTCAGCTGGTGCTGAGGATCGGGATAAACTCTGCTACACTGTGGAACATGGCCTCAACCCTGATGGTTGTCTGATTCGTCCCTCTGATGGTTCACCTGAATACGAGAAGCAATCTTTTGTTTCCTTATATGATGGTAAGAAGATACATGTCAATGAGACTACTGATGAATTGACTTCTTGTGATGATCATGAAGGGAGTTCAAATTTGCATGGTCCTGAAAGGCTATTATCAACCAGAAAGGTGAAAAACATTGTCACAATTTTTATCGACTTGATTTTATGATTTATGTTATTTCTTTTCTCATTAGTTGGTTTCTCTTCAGGCCATTTCGCCAACTTCTCAGGAAAAGCTCTGCAAAGCCATGGACTCCATTGATATTCGTCATACAAACAATCTAAGTGAGTGCCTTAAGCATTGCAATGTGATCTAGATCCATAAATGATAACTTACATTTTGATATGTGAAGGTTAAACCTTGCTTCTGTTGGCTGTAGTCACAGCAATGCTTGGAACTGCCAATGGGCTTTTATTTTGAGTGAAAATAGTTTTACTTGTACTCTAAAGTGGCTATGGATTTTTTCTTATCCATATAATAATTAGTTTTTTGTTTTCTCTGACTAAGTCGATCTTTTACATAATTTTGTTTTACTTATAGTTGGTTATAATGATTTCAGAATGCAAAGGAGTACTGCAATTTACTGAGCAAACTGATAAGAAAGGTGATGCAGAAGGACTTAATGATATCACAAGAACTGAAGTTACTAATAACCCTAAGAAAACAGGAGTTACTCCAAAGACTTCAAAAAGTGGTATCAGTCTTAAGGCCGTTCCCAAGATTCGTAATTCTTCTCGCCCAGCAACTCATCTGGGGTGCAGCACTTTACAGAATTGCTCAAAGAGTGCTATTTCATTTTCAAAGCAGCAGATGCATGATGCAGAATCTCTTGCTATGAGACTCACAAAAGAGTTGAAGTCAATGAAGGACATTGTGGATGATATGTTACGATCTGAATTCTGTCTTAATACCTCTTTGAGATATAAAGTAAATGAGGTAAGATACCACTACTTGTTCTTAGTGGATGTTTCTTTCTACAGTAGACGTCATGACAATTTAGTCTGTCAGTTTGCAGTTTTTTGATCATTATTTGCCCAATCTGTCAATTGGTGCAGCCCATATTATGCTGGCTATTCATAGCTTTCTTTTCTCTTCCTATAATCCTATTTAATACTTTAAATTGTAGAAGTTTCTTGTAATTTCAAGTTTTCACGTGTGTAATCAATTTACATTCAAACTGACACTTTACTATTTCAGGCAAGAATGGCCGTCAAGAGTGCCACAAAAGCTGAAGAAGGTGCAAAGAGGTGGCTGTCCTTCATGTCAAGAGATTGCAACCGTTTCTGTAAAATAATGGTTCGTCATCTAGTCTACTATATACTATTGAAAGCCTACAAAACACTTGTCAGATTGATGACATGATTGGTATCTGAGACTAGTTTAATTCTAACACGACAGCAACACATGATGTCATATTAATTCATTTCATTTTCTTAAATCATTAAAGAAGTCTATGTGCTGGTGTCATGTGATGTGTCTGATTCATACCTCTTAAAACATTATCAGCTCGGTATTGTTTAGTTTCCTGTTACTTGTTTGGTTAACTATTGATCTTGACCAACTGCAGAAATTATCTGATAGTAGTTCTTCAACTCCACAAGACGCAGTCTCACCTCCCCAAGAAATGCCGCGTAAAGAGAAAAAAATAGCCTTCGCTGATGAAGCAGGCGGAAGGCTCTGCCAGGTTAGAATCTATGAGGATGATGAAGAACATTTGTCAGAATCTAAGTGAAGGAAAATACTGGTTTAATAACATGACATTTTCTGTATATTAGCTTTTCTTAATAGCCCCCTTGTATTAATAGATTGATTGATGGAAATTTTGTTTGTTCCCATCTGTGCAACAAGTTAAGTCAATTGATACATTATATCCAGCTGAGTGAAACCAATTGTTCAAGATGAAGTTCTTCATGCTAGTATTGTTCTGATTCTTTTTTATTGACATAAAAGAGTACTCGGATTGTATTTTATACCGTATCTGATTTGTGTTTGGCAAAATAACAGCTCTCAAATAGTTTATTCTACAATCACTGAAGCTTTTTAAATAGAAATTCAGGAGTAAATCCTCACTTTTAGCATTTAATGTATGAGACAATTTTAATATTGACCTATTTGAGATCTGAAATAAAACCTATATAAAAAAGCTAGCACTGTATTCACTCTTTTTTCTTTTCTAGTCACACCCTGTAAATTTCTGCATACACCCATGTCATACAAAAATATCGTACCCTCTTTTCTTCATTTTCTTCTTCTCTTCATATTCTTTGGTCGTTCTCTTTCCTGCATTATCTTATTCTCTCCCTTTATCTTACTATTTTCTGCATTTACTATTACGTTAAATTGTGTTTCCTTTTGTTTTTTAGGTCGCTTATGCTTTACTTTTTCGATATTACTGCTATAATCTTGCCTGCTAATTTTCATTTTACATCCAACTCCAAATCAAAACTTCAAACCATTGCAAAAAAAAAAAAACTCAACATGTGTTTTCAACAAATATTATAACAACTCCCACGTTTTCTAATCCCAACTTCTACACCAAAAATTCCAGTTACATACAGTACCAATCACTCCTTCCAAATTTTGAACATGCAATTCCAACTTTATCAACAAACATTAGCCACAAAATTAATACCAAGCAAAAAGGTAACCATATAATAAAACCACACTTTATCAACAAGCTGCAGCCACATACTCTTTCATTATACATTTTGCTATTGAAACCTCCCGCATAATCATAAAAAAATGGTGTTTTTTTAATGAACAATCTTGTATATGTTGGACTTCATAATTCAAAATGATGTAGAGCAAAACAACATAATAACAAATGGCGAAATGTTCTTTCATGTCTATAATGTATTTGTTAAAATTCCTCAATTAAATATTTTTGTATTGAGTGAGGAAGAACCACAATTTTGCATTGTCAAATGATTTATATTAAAATAGGATGTTTACACTGTCTATTTAGAGGGTTTCATTGTTGTTCTGACGGTAAAGATGAGAACAAATGTATTTCTCGTATGATGTCTCATCTTAAGACGCTACACCTACGTAGCAGCGAACGAAAAAGTGTCACACGGATTGCGATTGAGAACTATCGAGATTTATTTACTGCATTGTAAGAGTCTTTGAGGGTGGTTGAGCAATGGTTATATGGAAGGTGTGGGTATTCAAACCATGAGTCGAACATGTCGTTATCCTGATGGTCTGGTTCATACGACTCATGGAATAAGGGAGGTCGAAAGTCACACAGTGGGTATTGTTAAACCATCCACAACTGACTCGGATAACCTCGAAACAAACGAAGAGCTTGTTTTTGATGGAATGTTGTTAGAGAGAGTCCTTGCAATACCTATCTTCAACGTGAATAGTGTAATACGGTGGGAGAACTGACTTTTGGTTTTGCATTTTATCGTAAATGTTGCGGATAACAAGAGTCGCCACTGACTTTTCTTTTATCCAATAAAGAAAAGGGTGAAAATAACATGAAATACCTTTGAGAATTTTCTGAGTAAGGGGGGTAGGTTATGAAAAGGGAAGGTGTTAGCAACCTTTTCATCCGTAGTTATCTACAGGCTCTTAATCGCTAGCTCACTTTTGAAAATGTTTTGTGAATGTGTAAGTTTGAAAATATTTTGAAAATGCCTAAGTTCGGCAACTTTGTAATGATTCTCATATCAGTTGAGAATGCATACAAAGTGTTTGTTTTGAAAATATTTCAGAAAAATGTTTGTGTGAAAATAGATGTTTTTGTGAGCAAGCGATTAAAAGCTATCTACCTACTAAAAAAAGTCTTTTGTGTTACTTTCCTTTTCCTTTAGATAGTGTTAACCTACCATTAGTTAGTAGGAAGCCATATCGTTGGATGTTTTGAGGGACATGCGCGGGTCATCGTATAGTCATAAAGGCAACTCGTAGGGTGCTTTAGCAATTTTTCATAAGAGACTAAGATCGTTTATCGAAGGCAACATCGAAGGGTCATCGAGAGACTACGATCTTTTAACAGAGGATCTTTTTTAAAGCGTCCCACGTTCGAGGGACATGACTGTTTTTTCGAAGGCAACAAGTGGGGTCATCCTAGTGGTGCGTGTGTGAATAGTGTTTTGATTTCAGTTAATTTGTCTTGGATTTATGATTATCTAGCGTTTGCTTTTAGTCTTTGCCATACAATCCTATTAAACTAGCAGTAATAAGGAAAATAGTAAATTGCGGAAACATAAATCTAGACTATTACAGAGCTTCGGGAAAGGGGGTTACAAATCATAAAATAGGGGAAAAAGTAAAGTAAACCCTAATTTATCTATTACATCCCTTAACAGTTACATATTTATGAAAATAACAATACGAAAATAAATAAGCGCGCAAAGATTGTGAAAAAGGGAAAGATATTAAAAACCTAAAAAATTCTAAGCGTTAGGAAAATATTTTTGGTGTTTTGTTTAGAAAAATATATTTATAGTGTGAAATAATCATTTACCCTAATTCTAATTAGTTTACAAATTAATTAATAAAATAAAATCAAAATGTGATTAGATTAAATTAATTTTTATTTATTAAAAATTAAATTAATTAATCAAAACCAAAATCTAATTTTTAGTGATTTTTGCTGATTAAATAAAATTGATTAAAAAGAAAATAATTAATTAAAACAAAAAAAAAGAAATGGGCATGTTGTAGAAAATTGGGAGGTGCAAGGATCTGAAATCACTAGGCCCAACAAGGAGCCCTGATTGTTTGCGTTGGATTCAGTGAGGATAGTTCCCTGGGGGTTGACCATGAGGAGGGCACATCTGGGGCGTTGGATCTGGCCCTTTTGAGATCTGAAGGTCACGGCATGAAGTGTACGATGTGCGTGCTGGGTTGCTTTGCACTGGATCTGCAAAAGAAAAAGTATGAAAAATAATATACTAAGGCCAGGGATCAAACCCATGCCCTGGCATACTAACACCTTTACACACACACACACACACACTCACCGCTGGGGAGACCACTACATCCGGTAGTCTATGTCAAATAAAATCAATATATTATAAAATGAAAACTAATATCAGATAAGTAAAAGAAACACGCGCGTGGTGGGATCCTGGGATTTTGAATCAGCGAATGGAGGGGAGCCACGCAAGCCCCTGACTGCTCAGGCCACCACATACGGAGGGGAAACACCATCTTCTCCGATGATGTGTTTTTGAAAACCTACAAAACAAAAGAAACAACTCGAATCCTTGGATCTACCCTCCCTAAATCCTATGTTACAAGTTCAACCATGGCGTTAGTTTGGCCTGAAACCCCGTGCTTACAGGGATACAAGCAACCTGCCCCTCAAAACCCTAACAATGGCATCTATCGCAGGGGACATTTAACTTCACATGTGATCGTGTTAACCTGTTCTACATGATCTAACAAACACATTCAGGCAGAGAAATCATGTTAAAAGTACATGAAAATTCAAATTCAAAACAAAACCCCTTACCTCACCGATAGGATTGTAGGTACGGTGTTTGGATGTGCTTTTGCTTGAATGAGGACTTGGTTTGAATCCTGGTACCTTTAGGAAGGCGACTGAATGCCCAAAATTGGTTGAAGCATGCTGGAAACAAGGGTTTGTGTTTTCCCTAATCCTTGGAAAATTTTGAGAATTTTGTGTTCTTTGGAGGCAGCCTGCGCGTCTGTTTTGCATCTGATTTGGTAGTGTATATATAGAGGGAGGAAGTGATCATCAAATATAGAAAAAAGACAAGGCATTCATAGCCATGAAACAAAAATCCAACATATTAAAATTTTTCCATTTTTGAATTTGTTCTTGCCATTTTCAAGTCCACACGTTTTTGGAAAGTTATCATGTATTGTCTTGGGCCTCTAGCTGATCAAGAAATACATCACGCGCCTTGGCCCAATGATTCTCCATTTTATTTGATTTATTTTGTATTTATTTTGAATAAAAACAAAATAAATATAAATAAAATAATAATAAAACATAAGACAAGGTATGAGTGAGCTTAGGGGCTTCCATAAGGTCATGAACATGTTTGAAAATCAAAAGTTAGGTCCACTAGATCAAAATCTCAAGTTTGCTCATTTTGTATTTCATGCATTTCCTCAAAATATTCCAACTTTCAATATTCATAACTCTCTCAATTTTCCTCTTTTGAAGGTGATCTTGGACTGTTTGGAAATTTCAAGATGTCCTCTTTAACTTCTCTTTTTATTATTTTTGCATTTGGAGACTTTATCTTGATGTAAGTTGTCTTAATAAAAAGTGTCTTTTTGTTGACTTTTGAAATGACCTATAATGTATGGGCTCATATCTTTCAAATGAAGAACTTTTTGAACTTGAGCATACATATACAAAGTTGTAGAGAATTTAATTTCCTTCAAAATGGGCTTTGGTTGGGGATAATTTGATGAAGCATGTGAAAGTTATGCTTGGTCAAAATTCAGTTGACTTCTCCTAAGGAAACCCTAGTTCGACAACTTTTGACTTTTGATAATTTGAGGACTTTCCTTGAGGAATAATGATCAACCTTTTATCAAATGATGAGTATCACTTCAAAATGTTGATGTTGACCAAAATTCTTGAAGTTTGACTGTATATTGACCATAGTCGACTTTTTACCCAATACAATTAATTTTCAATCATCTGAGCCATTGACTGAGCAAGCTTGTGTTGTAAGACTTGAAACTTGACATGAGCACTATTGAAGACTGTAATACGGTGGGAGAACTAACTTGGGTGTT